TCATTTAACTCAGCTCTCGACACAGGTTCGGGAAAGCCCCATGAGCTTCTCGCTGTAGAGTGAAAATGGAACGCACACGCTATTTGTTGTTTGTTTATATCACGCAGTCTGTTCCTCTTCTCTCGGTGTATCACGCAGTCTGTCTTCCGGTTGTTGCCTATTTTGAATGACGAATACACACTACCGACGCCTGCTGGTAAGGAGACGTGAGGCGACGTGTGAGGTGACGTTCCCGTCGGAACCAAAGACTGTATATAGAAATGGACGTAGGGTCCGTGACGTCACCCATAGGATTCTGCAGAGTTGCCGAGAAGCCCTTAGTAGGCGGAGTCGGCCACTAACGGCTCGACAGTGACATCAGAGTTCAACTCCCGCCTGCTCCAAATAAGGGCAAAGAGGCGGAGCCGAGGCGGGACCTGCTGCCACCAAGCTGGAAGTTCCAGAGCTAGCTGAAGCTACCAAGCTAAGCTAACATGCTCCCCCTCTGCACACTGCCGTCACATTTTACGTTTCTAAGGTAAGCGGACATGAAACTATTCAGCAAAACTATAAATAATAATCTATGTTATTGAGTTTTTAGCATAATATTTCAGAATCTTAAAATCCCTTAATGTTTGTATGCAATTGTGCTAAATTCAACACTGGAATCAAGCAAATATTAATATGTTTGCATGACATTAGTTATTTATATTTTGATATCACTTAACTATACGTTTAATACATTTAAGTCAAGCTAAGGTACATGTGATGGTAGCTAGTTAGTGCTCTTACCTGTGAGGCCTCCTCCAAACAGCATAACAACCAGACTGTATCATTAAAACTACAAGTACCAGTTCTAGATCCTTGACTCTAGACAAACAATTCAAAAGACAAAATGTATTTAAAGACCAATCTTTATTTGAATGTGCCTCTTAACCTGATATATTAGTTATACAGTAATAGTATTGACAATCTAAAAAAACTGAGCAACTCAACAGTCAACTTTATATTTCTTATTGTCTAAAGCATTTATTATTTTCATTTTTCCCCTCTCATATTCAGTGTGGACGGATTGAGACAGCGTGGTGTCCAAAGAGCTGCAGAGACTTCAGGGAGAACACTCCGTCCTGTCTGTTGGTTTGGAGAGGACTGAGGGTCTTTCCTCAGCAAGGAGGACCAGGCCTGATGGAGGAGCCCATGCTGGGCAAATCTGATACCAACTGCACAGGCCTAGTCTGTCACTTTATTTGACTAAATGTGTTTACTTATACATTTAATAGGTTTACACCTTCTGTCCATATATGCTTTTTATTTAAAACGTTTTTGATTAACTTTTGGTTCACATTTCAATAAATTGTATTTGTATTTGCACTCCTTTCGTCCATTATTCTTACTGAAGATGTTAGATTACACATTCACATCTGACTGAAGATTGGCCCCATTTATTTGTGACGTTGCAAACTCTGCGGTACAAGGCACAGGTGATGTGAAGCTCATAAAGCGAGGCAAATAGAAATAATCAGCTGATGGAGTGTAGATGTGAAAATAGCTGCATTCGATCAGCTGACTGTGTTTTCACAATAAAAGTAGTTTCTTAGTGAATGTCCTGTACTGGTCTTAAAATCTCATAACATCAGCTTTTAATGTTCCTCTTGGATGTTCTTCTTGACCCTCAGAGAAGGAGAAAATGTTGTGTCTTTCAGGCATGTCCTTTCCTAACAAAAATGACAGGAAACATAAAACATATTATTGCAGAACAAGTGTGTTATTTATGAAAGCGGTGTGTTTGTGTGTTTAGGGGCTGTAGATATAATTGTTTTGTAATTGTAATGTTGTTTTTTTATTTCAACAGTGAGCTACAAAGACAATCAGATTATGAATGAACAGTATGAAGTTCATCAACATTGAAATATATGTTAATATCAAAATAATATTGAACTGTTATCAAAACGTAGTGGAACTGTAGAAGCTAGTAGTATAGTAGTATTCGTTTATTAGTCCCCAAGGGGGAAATGGGTTGCAGCACATCACAGAGGCATTTAAAAAGTTAAGACAATACATCACTGACAACAACATAGACACAGATAAAAACTAGGGCCGGGACTTTAACGCGTTAATTAAGATTAATTAATTACACAAAAATTAACGCGTTAAAAAAATTAACGCATTTTAATCGCACTTATTTTTGCACCGCGGAACGTTTCTCACTGGATGAGTTTCAGGCGTACCGATTATACTGGAGCACCAACTAACGTTCATGACTTCAGACCAGAGCCGTATAATTATATATATATATCATTATAAGGCTCTGCTTCAGACAACAACAAACCACAGTGAACAACAGTGGGAAATGTTGTTTTAAAAAACGGACGGATGGAAGCGTCGATAAGAGCACGGTTGTGTGCAAATTATGCAAAAAGGAATTCGCATACCACCGCAGCACATCAAGCCTCAAGTATCACCTCAATGCAAAACATATAGCAGCTAGCGTGGAAGCTAGCGTGGACGTTAGCCTCTTTTATCGCGTTCACACCAAAAAGAGCCGGTACTAAAATTAGTTCATGAGAACCTTTTTACCCCCACGAAAGTCCCTGCTAGAGAGCAGAGAGCCGTACGAAAGCAGGGACTTTCGTACGGCTCTCTTGTGAGAAAATAGCTATATTTCTGATTGGCTGGGCGGATTGCAAACCACGCCCCGTAAAACTCCCAAAAAGTTTTGTGAAGCCGCCATTTTATTATCCTCGCATTAGCATTATTAGCATTAGCCCAGCGCAGAAACGCAGAGAGACTAACTTATGGCAACACAAAATAAAACATGGGAGCGGTGGAGATGAGGAGGTGTCGGCGTTCTGGCGATTTACTCCGAAGGCTGCTGGGACTCCCAGCAGCTTCTACTGAAGCCAGTCCCCAACTCCGGGGACTTCCGGCCGGGGACTTTGGGCGGCAGTATACGCCGTGAAGTGGTTTGCGGCCTGCCAGTAAACCCAAAGCAGAAGAAGAAGAAGTGACGTCAGCGGCTTCATTTGCCTAATCCACCCCCAGGTTCAAAGAGTTCTCATGAACTAAATTCTCATGAACCTTTGTGGGAAAAGTACTGCGGTGTGAATGCGCCTAATGGTATACTAAAATCCATGTGAAAAAAATTGCTTCTCACTGTTCTCAGGTCAAATATTTATATGTGATTAAAAATGCGATTAATTTCGATTAATTAATTACAAAGCCTCTAATTAATTAGATTAATTTTTTTAATCGAGTCCCGGCCCTAATAAAAACAAACAGACATAAGAAAACCAGATATCGGCAGACATGACAAGGGGCCTATAGGCCCTCATTTGCGAAATAGGGGGGGCAGGGCCATACCAGCTGGGTAAACAGTGCGTCCTAGCCATCATTTAAGCTTGCTCTGTTGTCTCACTGAAAGAATAACTTTTACCACGTTTTTTACAGACAATATTGAGAGATAAATAGTAGCAGTTCTCACTATGTGTTAAATATCTTTGCCTTCAATACATTAAATGAGAAAGCTGACAGTCATATTGATTGTTAACATCTAAATGTAACCTTTTGCATGGAAAAAAACCTCAACTTAACTGATGTGTAGGTGATCTAGTATTTAGTATTGTTTAATGGAATGTATATCAGTGTATTCAAGTCAATACTTCATTAATTTAAACCAATATCTTTCATGATTCTTTGTACAGTATGAAAAAAAGAGTCTTTGTACCTGTGCTGAAGTTCACTGCTGTGAGGAGTCCAGTTCTGTCTCTCACTATCTGGTCCAGCCTGTCTGCATCACCTGGACACCTTAAACAAACAGATATAGCCTATATGTAAAGTACCATGTGTACAAACAATATAACTTATTCTCTTCTGTTGAACATGTTGGATTGTGTATTGTCCGAGTCCTTTTTATTTTACTGTAACTTTGGAAGTTGTGTTACCAATGCTTACTGTTTATTTGATACCCATTTGGTAATGCAATTAATAAAAACAACAAGGTTTGGGTTCGTTCTTCAGACGACTGTGACGTTAACGTGTAAGCTCGATAATGAACTCCAGCTCAACCAACCATATTGTAATATCTAAGTAATCATCTTGAAATATGACATTAATAATTGTAATATACACACATCTTATTGTGAGGTTGATTTCACATACACTACTTCGACATTAGCTTGTCTACATACTCGAGCATAGCGGATTTAAAGTAAACTTACCGATGCATACAGTTCCTACCTACATAATAAAATATCTCTCTAAGTTACAAGGATGACCTTATTTTATCAACCTCAAACAGAAGCCGTTTGTTCAACAGTATTATCCCACTTAACGCTTAACACTTGTCTATTTCGTTTTAACCTTTATATATACAGTCTATGATTTTAACTTGGAGGCTACGATTAGCATCGTTAGCACCGATGTAGCTACCACTCGCTTACACGCTAACCCAAGCCTTAACATTCATTACGTAGCTGATTAAAATAATTAAATACAGTAAAATACACAAAAATAAGTACTCGAATTTCACTTACCGCAAAACCGCATTCATGCACTGTCTGTTTCCACCGCAGAGCGAGTCACAATAGTCCGATATATAAGCATGAAGAACAAACAACCATGGCCGGCTTCAAGTTGTGTTCCCTGGATGAGCTGAGCAGGCAGAGTCCCTGTAGCTTCACGGAGAAGCTAGCAGAGAGACAAGAAGCTAACAGCAGCAGTCACTCAGAAACATGTTTTTTTCTGCTGTAAAATCGGGCATTTTAACATGGGGGTCTATGGAAATTGCTCCTTTCTGCAGCCATCGCCTATCGGCCAATATATGAACTGCAGTGTGTGGCACTTCCGTATTGGCGTCCCGGCTCTTCCCCAGAGTTTGCCGCTTGGTCGGGACGTGTTCTTTGGTGTCAGTTTGGTGTGTAAGGACCTTAAGGCTGACCCCATTGTAACCATATTGGATAGCATCGGGCTGCTAATGCTAATGCTAGATGTTGGAAATGGGATTGATGTGATAGTGGTTTTACCTTAGCAATGGTCTCGTGGAACTTGAAAAGTGGATCCAGCGTCTCCGGTGACTCAGCAGAAAATTGGGCTTCAGACAGGAAACTGGTGGTCTGAGATGAAGGAAACAAAAGAAGCATTTGTCACACATTATACCACATTGAACATGTTCATCTCTCTTGTAATTTCAAGTGAAATCATTGTCTCATTTAAAAACATGTTCTGTGACATTCTTCCAGTCCAAGCCAAAATGAAAAAACAGCTTTTCTCATCTGTTGTTTTTTAGTTTGTTCTATACTTTTCCAAGAGTGGAGTGGCCTGTCAAGCTTTCGACAGGAAAACACCAGTAACTGCTCTCAAGACCACCCTGCTGCCAGGACATTTTGTTCTGCTGTCAAAAATACACACACACACACACACACACACACACACACACACACACACACACACACACACACACACACACACACACACACACACACACACACACACACACACACACACACACACACACACACACACACACACACACATAGAGTCCCACACACAAAGTCACACACCCAAACTCTACCTCATTGCCACCTCAGCGTATTTTTTTCATTCCCCCGAAACAAAGCACCTCATTTTGACTTCAAAGTCCCGCCGCTGCCTTTGTAGAGGATTCGTTTTTTTCCTGCAGTCAGATTAAGTAGCACTACCAATAATCTCAAAGGTTCAAACACTAGAATTCTTCCTGTATAGCACAGAACAAATTAATATCTGAAAAATGTATATATATATATATATATACACACTTGTAGCACATCATCCTATTTAGTATTTATTTTGGGACAGGCTGGAAAAAAGGTTGATGCCAACTATGACTACACGTCAAACTTGGAAGCTATATGTTTTTCTATTACTGTGCTTCTTATACTGTTTTATATTGCTGGTTTGGCTAATAGGGGTAGCTTTAACATTTGGCAAGTTAGGTTGAGGAGAATTTAGGGCTGTCTGAACACAACGGAGTGAAAAAAGCTTAAACTATTTCAGAAATAATGTTTGATGTGCTCAGGAACATAATGTGGCTCTACCTGACAGTCCAATGTCTTTTTATATCATGTCCATCCATGACCAGACAAGAATGTCAGATAATGGGGGATTCTGCAAAACCCTTTCTCACTTTCCTACAGTTTTCCAGGCCACTTTCGGATGGTCAAGGTTGGGGAAAGATTGTGGATATGGCTATGGTGAAGATATGCACATTAAAACACTTAGCCCAGGTGAAGAAAAATACTGTTTAGGGTCGATGAAAGGTTGAACATGAATTGTGTGTCTACAATGAAAAACAAACTTTATCTTCAAGTCAGTTTTGCTACTAACCCAAATGCCCATTACCAGAACATTGGCTTCAAAGGCAAAGGTAAGCGTAAGCATTATCGAATATGACGATCATTTAGTCCTGGAATAATTTTAAATAGGTGTATGTATGTGTTTCGATAGGAGTTACTGTAATACAAATGCATCATGTTGTGCGGCCTATAGAAATGTATTGTGTGTGTTGTGGGTATTTTAGCCATAAAACATTCAGTAAGTTAGGCGTTCTCAGAGTTTAAGCATAACTCTGATTAGCAAGTTGTCGTTCATCATATTGAACATAAATGGAAAAAACCTAGAGTTTTTTATGATTCTGTAGGAAAAACATTTAGATTTTAAGGAAATCGTTAAATATCTATCCAGGAAAAGCAGCTTGGATCTGGGATGAACCTCGCCAACAATCTGATGCAGGCAATGTGGCAGCAGCTACGTGGGCACTGGGCATGTTAGGGGAGTAGAGCTTTAACTTAATAATTCACATATTTACACATTGCAAGGCATAAACCGAACATTTTTATGAAGCCTGCTTGAGTGTTGCCTCCGAATAAATATGTGAATTATTGAACGCAACATCTGCCGTAGGCCGGCATATAGGGGCACCTCTTCCCACATACAAAAACAAATATTTAAAAAAATATTTAAAAAAAATATATATTTTATATTTTTATTTTTAATGAACAAGGTAAATATCATACAATTGGTATCAGTAAAATATATAATCTACAATAAAATCTCGTTTAAAATTGTGTTAAGATGTCTAAAGTTACTGATAAGTCACATGTTTCCTGCCTGGCCTTGCCCATGGCATTAGTTTATCATTACCGGGCGGAGCCCCCGAGACAAACAGCAGCAACCAGCACGTTGCAAAAGTCTCAATAGTAAACTGTGCCACCGAAACATAATTTCAGCACCTTCAAATATTTTGGTCACGAGGGTGCTCATGTTGGCGCCCACGTTGCTTACGTGCGTTGACGTGAGTTGTTTTTTAGACTCGTGAGTGACCAGGTGGATGAGAATGGCGTTGTGTGCAGGTGGAGTCGCCGGACCTCGGTCCGCACCCAATTCAGTGCAAGAGCTACTCTCCAATCCTTTCGAAAGGAGAAGTTTGGGAGATAAATTGATACTTAAAGACCTTGGACCGGACCAACCCGATTTGTATATATCGCAGCAAGCTCGTGAAAAAGACAAAACGTATCAACAAGGCTTCTCACGTAGCTGGTACACCAGAAAGGCATGGCTAGCTAGATGCAAACAGGTAAATGCTGTCTTTTGTTTCCCATGCTTGCTCTTCAAACAGCCGGGGACAGATACGATCTGTTCAGAAACTAGACAAAAGTTAAACAAGTACAAACCACAGACATCATGGAGAATACAGTCGCTGGTTTATTTATGTCTGTATAGGCCGTTGTTGTGAGTGTGGACGGTCGGAGCATATATTACGTTAGCTTAGCCAAGCTCCATTTAGAAAACACGCATTTTAAAAGGGTTTTTCGCCTGCCGTCTGTCTGCAGACTTGTCAAAGCATTAATTCATGGTTTTTACTAACCGGTATCAGTATGTTGTTAATTCGGCATCATTTTGAAATGTGTATTACAATTAAATCACGGTAAAATATGTTCATCTTGTTGTTGTTGTAGCCCCCTTGCCAGCGATTCTCTCTCTAGTTTTGCATGCTCAGCCCGACTCAGCCTGGTTGTTCCTGGCCCTAGAACCACGATTTTATGGGGCCAGAAAAACTGTGAATTAGGACCCACTAGCCGGTACTAGGCCAAGTGGAAACGCAACCAAAAACGGGCCCCGCACGGCTCGGCACTGTCTGTGTCATGGCGAATACAGTCGCTGGTTTATTTATGTCTCTAGGCCGTTGTTATGAGTGTGGAGTGAGCATATACAACGTTAGCTTAGCCTGGGCGACCCAATCTCCATTCAGAAAACAAGCATTCTAAAAGGTTTTTCGCCTGCCGTCTGTCTGCAGACTTGTCAAAGCATCAATTCATAGTTTTTACTAACCGGTATCAGTATGTTGTTACGTCGGCATCATTTAGAAACGTGTATTACAATTTAATCACGGTAAAATATGTTCATTTTGTTGTAGTTGTAGCTCCCGAGCCAGCGCGTCTTGTTTGAATGATGCGAGTAAACACAGCTGGCAGCCGCGTTGAAACTCGAGCGACTAGAGCGATGCGATAGGAGCGTTTAGAGCGAAGCGAATATTCGCATCGCGTCCGGTCTGAACGCAGCATTAAAGCGAGCTCCGCGCTGCACTGGAAACGCGCCATTACATCACCAGAAGTCCTAATTTAAGGGGTCATTTCTCCCTATACTCACTATATCAACAGCCCCACCAAAAATATTTTCGACCAACCGCCACTGGCTGTAGGAGTTAAATGTTGTTTTTAGCTAACAACAACAACAACAACAATCCCAGTGCAGTGGCTACTGCCTGAGATCGAATGCTGTGGTTTTATTAAATGTGCCAACTGCTAGGACTGTCTTAGGGAAGACAGCTTTTAGATGCGCAGCTCCTCTGTCTTGGAATAATCTGCAAATTAAATGGAAACTGAACAATCTGGTGCCACTGAATGTTTTTAAAGCTCGGTTGGATGCTACTCAATCGGAAGCTATAGGTACCTGTTTATGTGGATAATTATGTAAATGATGCTGTATGATGTCCTTTTGTTGTTCTATTTATGTTTTTATGTTTCATGTGGAACTACTTGAACAGGTCTCCCTTGGAAAAGAGATCAATGATCTCAATGGGATTTATCTGTATACATAAAGGTTTGAAATGAAATGAGTGCCATATTTGGTAATAATATTTAACAGAACCTTTAATTAATAGTTTAAATATAAGCTTTGAACAGAATCAAAAATGTAAACAACAAACTCGTGGACACGGAATGACCCAGGTGCGTTCAATTGTTTTTAAAACTACCTTCTCAGTGCAAAAACTACAGAAATAAAGAGTGGTGTTTTGTGCAGCAAACAAATATGTATATTTCTCTAAGGGTAGAGCCCAAACCCAGTGCTTAAAGAAGGTGAATATGGAACGCACATTCACCAGATGGCAAATCTCAAAGGTATGGACACATTGATTGCCTTTAAAATCTGAATGTTATACTCTTTGTAACCCTTTCAAGTGCGTTTACACATACAGGTCAGCATTCACTCATTCACACACATTCCTACAGAACAAGAGGCTGCCAAACAAGGAGCCACCTGCTCATGTACACACTACAAACTATTGGCAATGCTATTGGGAGTAACCTGCGGTTTAGTGTTTTGTCAAGGGACACACATTTACGTTGACTGCAGGGGCTAGGGATCAAACCCCCAATATTGTTGGCATGGCGGACGTGTGAATAAGCAAGTGATTGCAAACAAGCTTCATATATCAACTTAAATGTTGAGTTCACATCTTGTTCCTGCTACCTGAACTCAGTCAGTTATTGCAGGTTTAAACCATTGCTTATGTTCAGCTCGCTGCACCCGCACTGCGAGGGGGACCCAAGTTCCCATCAGCAAAAACACGTGGGTTTGCTATCCTGGCTCCAAAATGTTGGAATGAGCTCCCCATTGAAATCAGGACAGCAGATAGCTTGCACATCTTCCGGCGCAGACTGAAAACTCATCTCTTTCGACTCCACTTCGAGCGATAGAATTATTAACAAAGCACTTATATACTAATAAAGGACTGGCTTATCTAAAGCCAGTTGAGTAGCACTTGAAATGTTTTTGCTCTATGAAACCTGATGTA